GTGTGTGTGTGTGTGTGTGTGTGTGTGTGTGTCCCTATACAATTCAATACTTGGTAAACAGTCAAATTCCAGAATACAGTTCCTGATAAACAGTCAAATTCCACAGTTTTGGTACATAATTCAAAATTATAGTAACAACTTTAATGTTTAAAGATTTTCCCATAAATATGCTAATATACTACTTTTCACTAATTGGAAAAGTGATATTATTCCAGACATTCAGAGAATGGTTATGAGAAATGTCTATCTTTTCTGGAAGATACAATATTTTCTATCAAAGGTTGCAGCAATATGTGTTATTATGGCAGAGATTCTGTAATACCTTACAATAATTTCATGCATTGTTCATATTATAGTAGTGAATTCATTGGTAAACCAATGACTGTTGATAAGTATAAAATATAAGATTTTATTTAAGTTCCTTCTTATATTTAAGAATATATTATATTCTTGCATTTTTAGTTTGTACTTTTACTGTAAAGGTTTGCTTTAAGTTTAACTATTGATATTTTTTTGGAAAAATAAAAATATTAGTAACAATAACTTCAAAATATATTTTCATTTTCTTTCATAATCTGCACTGCAGAAATTCAGAACACTATGAAATGGCACCAAAGTGATACAGAAAATTCTTTTTCTGTCACAGCATGATCATGTGGATTTTTGCAGCACAGAATTGGTAGGCCAACTTTTAAATACAAAGAAATTAAATAGAGAGCTGGCATGCTGCCAAGCAAGACACCAGCTTTAGCATAGTTATTTACGGAAATGCCTTGGGGTCCCTCAGAGCTCCCATTAATACAAGAGAGAGTTTCTAGAGTGCCTCATGTCAAATGAGTAGTTTGTGATTGGCCTTGCCACTGAGCAGTCATTCTGTTAATAGTAAATTCTCCCATGGCAGCTTTCTTTTAAGTGCATTCACCAGATGTTCTTAACATTCCTAATTGCTTCTGGCCTAAATACATGAAGATGGCCAGTGTTTCTGAAATTTCATATAGCAGTAATCATTTTTTATTTCTTAAAGTACCAGGTTTCTCTCTCCCTTCTTTTATAACTATTTTATTAAGTGAATTAATTTTCAGCAAAACTATATGCTATTTTTAAAACCTTGCTAACCAAAGTTCATCCAAGTTAAGATTTTGACAGGTGTCTACCTTGCCTCAAATCCAAATACTGATGAACAATGCCTCTGGTGATTCAGCTATTCTCTGTTAAGGAACCTCAGTGTAGTTTGCCTCA